ATTGTTGTTTGGCGGGTCCGGGCTGGGGATTTGAACCCGCCACCTTAGGTGTACGTGGCTGGCGCCTTAGCCGGTTGAGCTATAGGCGCCGAGCCGGAAACTTTTTTTTTAACTTCTGTTAGCATTTTTTGGTAGTCTGTGTGTATTCTGATCTACCTTTGGTTAAGCAGTAAGAAAAACTTGATAAGCACTCTTTTTTCAGTTGATTTTTAAAATACTTTTTCTATCCTACTTTGTCCAAAGGTGATTTAATAACTTACTTTAAATTACTGCTTTCCATCTCAGACTATTAATCCCTAGATAATGCTTGCATTTTGATATACATCTGAGTGTTTGTAACTCAGTGTTTGTAACTCTGAGTAGGATTCAGTTGGTTTACTAGTATCAGATTTTTGCTGGGTGGTTATCAATTGCTGTGATATAATTTGTTTTGCCTTAACCAGTTTATTAGGCACTGCTGTGTACATTAACTCATTTGATTTGTTACCTGCTGGTTTAGTAGGTTAACTGTCACTCCCAGCGTTAAGATGCAGGTACTGAAGACCAGATGACTAGATCTGTTAGGGTTCTTGGCCAAGATCACACTACTGGTCATTGCTGGTATCTCACCTCAAACCCAAGTCTAGATGCCCTGTGCCGTCTTGTCTGCATGGTCTTTAACCAAATGACATTTAATAAGTTCAGAGATTATTTCTGGTGTCAACACACAGAAAAACAGATCTGTGTTCATTGTCATCTAATTGCACATCAGGGGTGATGTAACACCTTAGGATACATAATCTAGTGCACAGTTGCTTATGAATCATTTTACGGCTTGGTTTGTTGTTGTTTGCTTGTTTTAGGTCTCAGTGCTTGCTTATTGTATAATTTCAAACATTTTGATCATTTGACAACATAGCCCTGAGTCATGGCCAGTGACACCTGCACCTCCTTCACGTGACCGACCGCTCATATAATATCACTTTTCTCTTTGCTTTCACTGTAAAGGGCCAGGTACCTGCTCATTGCATAGTTTAGTTTAGACTTCTGAAAAGAGAGAGCAAGCTAGCACAGTGCAATTATTTTTCTGAACGTTTTTTGCTACCTGTAACTACACCCGTGACTTTACAGTCAGCTTAATGATGACTTTACGAAATAGAAATTATGAGTCATTTTGTGATTCATGCTATCCAAACCATACTATACAGCCATATTCTTTGTCACCTAACATTAAAGGATTTGAGACTTTACTCTTGGAGTCAACTTTTGTGTCTAAGGATAGAGTTTAATTTGTCATTTTTCTTGTAGAAGCTATTTTATTTTATGTAATCTATCTTGATGACCATTGCTTGGCCAGTGAACCTCTTTAAAAATGACAATAACAAAGGTAATATTTGCTGAGTGCTTATTCTGTACTGGGTACTGAGTGTTTTATGTACAATATTTTAAAAATTTTTCTGCAACAACACCTTCCAAACTTTTACAAAGAGGTGGCCAACACATAGAGAATACTTCTGTAACATTTTGTAATGAATATTTTATAAATGAAGGTATACTTGACTACAATTTCCCTTTCTCCTAGGTCTGGAGACTTTAGGGGTGAGCTTTGGAACCCCCGTAAATCCTTGTCATATGAGAAACTTGCCAGAATTCACAGATTCTATTATATTTTGTACTCTCACTTACTTACCATTACTTGTATTATTGATGCTTTAGAGCAGTGGTTCTCAACCTTCCTAATGCCTTGGCCCTTTAATACAGTTCCTGTGGGTCGTGACCCATAGGTTGAGAACCACTGCTTTAGAGTGTTCTCCATGCATGGAACAAAAATTAACGTAGGTAAGCCTCAGAGTTTCTCACCTGGAGTCAGATCATAGCTATGTATGTAATCCCTCACTTTTTCAAAACATAGGCTTGGCCCCGGTGGCTCAAGTGGCTAAGGTGCGAGCCATATACACCTAAGGTGGTGGGTTCGAATCCAGCCCAGGCCTGCCAAACAATGACATCTGCAACCAAAAAATAGCCAGGTGTTGTGGAGGGCACCTATAGTCCCAGCTACTTGGGAGGCGGAGGCAGGAGACTCGCTTGAGCCCAGGAGTTGGAGGTTGCTGTGAGCTGTGATGCCACGACACTCTACCCAGGG